GAATTCAGACAAGGTTTTATGTATTTACTCTTTTGGAAATCTGAATTGAAGGACTTCAGTTGTTTAAACTGGTATGAAACCTTATATTTACTAGCTGAACCAGTCAAAATATTTAACAGTTGTAATATAGATTTGATCTAGTTTATCTATCTGGTTGAAGAATATTGAATAAAACACAACTAAATCTTTCCGGTTGAAACAGTTTGCAGACACTATGGCACAAAACAAACAGACAGACGGACACCTAGTCAACTGTTTATTTGTATTAGCAACGCAATACTAATCAACTGGATTTGTCAAAGGAAATGGGACGCTTGGGCTGAAAAACAGGACTTTGGTTGGTATCTGCCAGCCAAAAGTAAAGCTGATCTAAATACAGCAAGGTGTAGCATGCAGAAGGAAGCCACTGTGGAGAGAAATATAAGAAGTAGAGAGCAGAAATGAGAAGGGAAACGGGTGTTGCAAGAGGTCTGGATGCTGGGACTGGCTCAGTTGAGGAACAGCTGAAGTAGACACCATGCTTTTGCAACAAGTAGGGGTGATTAAAACAAAAACAGTGCATTAGAAAAATATGGTAGTTAAAAGATGGCAAAAGCAAGTCGTGTGGTTAATGTGCAATGTACGAAGGTATTTGGAACTGTCGTACTTTTATTTTGTAGTCTACTATGTGCAAAATGAGCTCTATGTAAAAGTATATTTAATGAGCCATTTTGAATTATTAAACATATAGTTGTGTATTGAAAGCGGCTAGATGTAATGTATCCTCATGCCCATAGAACATTGTGTTTGTTGTTGAATTAAAGGGAATTATGTTTACTGTATCTGTTAGCTGGCATAGTTTTACTACTGCCCATCCCACAGTTTCTTTTATGACCTATGTTTTGTTTTGGAAAGGAAATGTTGCACCATAAGTGAATTCTTTTGCAGTTTTGATGATCATTATAATGTGTCACAAGATGTCCAAATGTGAAATAAATGCATCAGCTTGTGGCTGTGTAAGGGTTGAAGTGACATCTCAAGTACAGTATTAGTCTTTCTGTGAGTTCTTTTGTTAGTGATTCCTCAGGACACTATAATATGTTATTGCTTATATATGTCCAGCGGTTGCTGTTTATTAAAATTCCCAGGTCTGTTTCCAAATCTTGAAATTTTTGGTTTGGTTGTTTGAGCCTTTCCATTTGGCGGAGTCACTTATTTATTTTAATTGTAAGCTGAAAATCTATTTAATTGTTTTTTTTAGGTTTCTGTTTTTCTCATCATGTGTTCTTTCAGTTCATCTATAAATATAACCAACACTTATGCACCTAATTTTGTACATATGTATAACTTGAACTTCTTTTGTTCTTTCATGTCAGGTGGATATGTCTCCAATGTAGAGCTACCAGATGCTGATAAGCAAAAAAGCAATGGGACAATTACTGGAGGTATTATTAATTTATTCTCTCAAAGCTTATTCTGTGGATTTCAGTTAAATTTGGCTAAAATCAACATGGATATGCAAAAACAGTATGTATATGAGACATTTACTGTTTTTCCATTGTCATGTCTACGTCCCTGAGTTTATAAAGTGTATTTTTTAAACAAAGGAATAAATGGTATTAACATACAAACATGTGACAAAGAAACCTGATACATTAAACCTTAGAAATGAAAGATGTTGTAGATGCTGTATCTTTTATTTTTAAGGTGTAACATAACAAAAAAAAAGGAATAATCATATAGTCCATACCAGGTGCTAACGTTAATTAAACAAAACATCAGATGAACAAAAGCATATGATATTACACCATATTCTGCTAATTATGAGGTCTGCCATAATGTATATCATGCCTTCCTGAGGTGATTGATCTAAAATATAAAACAATTTTATAAAGAGTACGTTACATGTATTCTCCGTCCCATTTTTAATATTGACTGATAAGATAAACCTTGCAGACATGGCCTCTTAGTCAACAAAAAGTCCTGTGCATATCAAAAGGTTCTAAATTGGTGCTTACTGCCACTTCTCAGGAATACAGCATTAGTGCAGATGTACATTAGCTTTGATGGATGTAAGCATCCAGTGAGCATGGTTTTGTTGTTTTTAATTGAAAATCAGGAATGAAAAGCACAGACGTTGTCTATTGTTATTTTCTAAAACAAATCTCTAATGGAGAATGCATTTTGATATCATTTCAGATAACAAAGATGAAGAGGAGAAAGTCTGTAATTTTCAGGATATTGTCAATCACCTGAATCTGAAAAAAGACGAATTTAAATACACTATGAGCCGGCCCATTATAAACAACAAAGATTATACAGAAGTGTTTGTTACAACAAGACTCTATGCCATCTTAGATATGGTAATTTGTTTGGGCATTCTTTTATTATTAATGACAATTAATGTTTTTTTGGCGTGTGTGTGTGTGTGTGGACATGTTTTCTTGCTCATGAAACATATAATGTCACAGCACTCATCCACAAAAGAACAACTCATTATTATTATTATTGTTATTATTACTTACTCTGGCTTGTTTCTTGCCACGACCCGTTTTTCTGTTTGTAACTTACAGTTTCTTAGATCAGTGCTGTTTCATTTTTATTTAGGTATTTTTTTGTTTTAGTTTTTTCTGAGACATTTATTTGACACACAGTACAGAGATATAGGTTGTGAGTTATGACTCCATGCTAATACATGACAGGTATCACTGGATTACTTCTGCTGAAGAAATCTTGAAAAGATTTTAAGCACTACTGTCCATCACTTCCAATCAGACATGATATATGTAGTTAACTGTCTTTGGTCCATGTCTTTATATTATTATTATTATTATTATTATTATTATTATTAGTAGTAGTAGTAGTAATAACAATAATTATATTGCTGCATGAGGAGTTTGCTGGTAAATAGACAGTTTCTCCTCCAAGCCAAGGACAGTTGCTGAGGCATTAGATGATATGAGTTAACATTAGCTAACCTGCCTGTTGAGCTTGACATGTGTCTGCCTCAATAAACACTATGTTCAAATTCTTTATTTACAGAGAGAAATTGACCAGACCTTAATTACTTACATTTGGGTTGATTTGGTGAGTTTTCTCTTAAATATATCATAGGTATATATGGTTTTCCCTGTATTGTTAAAATTCTATACTACTATTACTATACTATTTTTTTTTTCAATTATTTATTTTATTTGTTTTTCATCATCTCTTCTCATCTCTTTGCCTTTTTGTACCCTTGAGTGTAGGCTTGGCGCAATGAGTACATTAACTGGAAACCAGAGGATTTCTGTGGAATTGAATATATAACAATTCCTACTTCATATCTGTGGATTCCAGATATAACTATTGAAGAGATGTAAGTTTAACATATACAATATGCCCATAAACTCACACTCACATATAGTCATTTTATAATCATATATTTATAAATATATGCTACTATTGAAACCATAGGGTGACAGAAAATGTTTTCCTTATTGTAATCCATGAAATAATTTACAAATTGAAGAAGGAAAAATAGCAAAGACATGGTTAGAAATAACCATTTTTACTTTAAATAACTTTATTCAAACAGAGTCGGAGGATTTGAGCAATTATCAGCTGTCTGTTGAATTTATAAGTAATTCATCTCAAGCTGTTTTGAAGCACCTTTCACAAGTTGGATTGGTTTAATAGGCAGTTCACACACTATATTGCCAAAAGTATTAATTTGCCCATCCAAATCACTGAACTCAGTTGATCCAATGACTTCCATGGCCATGTGTGTAAAAAAAAAATTAAGCAACTAAACAAGCAGACTGTTTCTAATCTGCTCTGATGAACTCAGTGAATTTCACCATGGTACCATAATAGGATGCCACTTGTTCAACAAGTCCAAATTAAACTTGCTTGCTACTAATTAATCCCCAGTCAACTGTATTATAACAAAGTAGGAACGACTGTAACTAAAATCACATAGGGAGGGGAGGTAAGCAGATGCTGAGGCACGTAGTGTGCAGACGTCACTACCTTTTATGCACATTAAATTGCTACAGACCTCCATACTTCATGTGGCCTTCAGCAAAGCTCGACAACAGGGCTTTCCAGTGCAGCTTTCCAGTTGCTGCTTCCAGCTCAGCACAACACATGCAGCTCTCCTGTCGGGTCCCGGCATCCTTTCGAAATGGGAAAGGTATGACCAGGTGATGGAGAATAGCTGTGTGCATCAGCCTCCTCTGACACCACACCTCGAACCCACGGATCCACCCCTCTTTTGAACTTTAAAAAAATATATATATTTCAACAAAATCTATTACGATTGGATTTAAAATAATATTGGATCATGTAATGGAAGACGTTTCAGCATACAAAAGCAATGACAAAATATAACACATCCGTCTCTACTGCACTAGATCCAAATACTGGTTGGAGGATGTGTTTGTGTCAGAAAGGGGGGGATTTTCTTGTAAAATAAAGAAGGGCCCAGCAAAAACTTAGTTTGGGAACCACTGGCCTAGTCAATGGTATCTCTCCACCTCTAGTACTAGCAGGTTTTACTAAGGTAAAATAAGATATAGCTGCAGACATAATAAATAGTCATTTATTGCATGATGCAAACTTTTTTCCATAGTATGATAATACATTGTTTTCATTACAATCATATTCTTTTATACAGGACAGAAAAAGATAAAGCGTCTCCGAGTCCATATCTCAGCATATATCACAATGGCTCGGTTGAGTTCAGGAATGACCAGGTGGTGCAAAGCACCTGCAAGATGCATGTTTACAAATTTCCTTTTGACACCCAGAGCTGCAACCTCTCCTTCAAGTCTATCTTTCACGATGGTGAGTCCATAACAGTTTCTGCTTACATGTCCTTTGTATGGTCTTAAAAGCACAACATTAGATATTTTAACATATACTGCCTGGCCAAAAGGAGGGGCTCTAATTTTCTGTTTCTGCTTCAATGATCTCATGCATAATTTCAGGAAGGTTATCCAATGCCAAAAAACTAATTTTCATCCAAATTTGCACATATTTTGGGCCAACATCTTATTTTGATGATGTTAGAATTGGACAACTGTGTGAAAAGCAATTGGGAATTTCCAAAGAGTCACATGAATCCCTGGAACTGCTATAGAGAGCCGTACACATAAGCTGGCTCCAGTTCTGTTTAATATTAGTTTTTTCTTGTTAAAAACTCCCATTAGAAAGATTGGATGTTGCAAGTAAGCAATAAAATTTGAAATAGGCATTATACAAATGCTGGGATTTCATTGCTATTTAATCAATATTCCACACTAAACAGAATGAGCATGTTTTTATAACATTTTAACTTTTAACTTTAGTGATATTACTGTTTTTCTTGTAGTTGAATTAGCTGATCTGCAGTTTTTTTTTACTGAGTTTGGATAAGAACTTTAAAGTCAGGTTAAGTGTCTGAGGTGGAACTGCGAGACAGTGGACAAGTAATCATCAATGAGTGGATCTGTCTGGATTCGTTAGGTTGCATCTGCTTCAAAAGTGAGACATTTTCCCTGGAACAATTAATAACTCCAATAACAATCACAAGCATTTATGGCTCAAACACAGATGACCGACCACACATTCTATCATAACTTCTTCACATCATTACAGAATTTCTCCACATCTGCCATAATCATAGGTAGAAACTTTAACACAGTTATCAACCCAACAATAAACAGCTCAACAAACTCACATCATACCCAAAACTGGCATTCAGCCCAAATCATACCATAGCATACCAGCTTTATTTATAAATCACTTTAATATAAAGCCAGGGTTCACAAAGTGCTGTACAAATAGCATAAACACAATAAAATAAAATAAAACATGTTAAAACAAGTTGATAAAACAAATTGAGTCAACCCCTTAAAGAGTGCCAAAGGCTTCAGCAAATAACTATGTTTTAAAAAGAGTTTTAAACTCAGAAACAGAAGAGGCCTGCCTAACGTGCAAGGGCATTTCATTCCACAACTTTGGAGCAGCTACAGCAAAGCCATGGTCACCTCTAAATTAATACTTATTTTTGTTACCTTAAGGAGCTGCTGATTGGCGGGCGCAGTGTTGGGGAGTAACAGAATACATGTACCAGTGTTACGTATTTAAAATACAAAATATGAGTAACTGTATTCTGTTACAGTTACCGTTTAAAATGGTAGTATTCAGAATACAGTTACTTTGTTGAAATAAAGGGATTACATGGCGGCCTTTTCCTGTTTCCTGTTTTCCTATGCCCTCTCTATTGTTGGTAATTTTCGCACCGGTGCACAGCAAATCCA